ATGATGGTGATGGTGCTCATGGTGATGATGTTTGTTTTTCAGGAGCCGATGGCAACAAAAACATGGGAGGTGAGAGATTCAACCTGATCCTCACCCTGTACCACTCACCTACTCACCCACTCACCCTCACCCTGTACCACTCACCCACTCACCCTGTGTCATCCACTCACCCACCCACTCACCCTGTACCATCCACCCCCCACTCACCCACCCACTCACCCTCACCCTGTACCATCTACTCACTCACCCACTCACCCTCACCCTGAGGTTTAGTGTCACCACTAAACCCCTAACCACTAAACCTCTAACTACTAACTTCTAACTACTAAACTCTAACTACTAACTTCTAACTACTAACCCCATGACCATAACGACGAACCCTATACACCCTGACTCTAAAACCCTAACCACTAAACCCCAAACGCAGCCCTAATCCAACACTACTACACCCTAACCCATAGCTCAGACCACATAACCCTAACCCCATAACCCTAACCCCATAACCTACCCCATAACCCTAACCCCATAACCCTAACCCCATAACCCTAACACCGTAACCCTGACCCATAACCCTAACCTCTAACCCTAACCCCATAACCCTAACCCCATAACCCTAACACCGTAACCCTGACCCCATAACCCTAACCCCATAACCCTAACCACATAACCCTAACCCTCTAACCCTAACACCGTAACCCTGACCCCATAACCCTGACCTCATAACCCTAACCCCATAACCCTAACCCCATGACCCTAACCACATAACCCTAACCCTCTAACCCTAACACCGTAACCCTGACCCCATAACCCTGACCTCATAACCCTAACCCCATAACCTAACCCCATGACCCTAACCACATAACCCTAACCCTCTAACCCTAACACCGTAACCCTGACCCCATAACCCTGACCTCATAACCCTAACCCCATGACCCTAACCCCATAACCCTAACCCCATGACCCTAACCCATTAACCCTGACCCCATAACCCTGACCCCATAACCCTAACCACATAACCCTAACCCTGTAACCCTGACCCCATAACCCTGACCCCATGACCCTGACCCCATAACCTTAACCCAGGCGAGGTAGTTAACATCTCACCACGTGGAGAGAGAGAGAGATGCAGACCTCAAACCTGCAGCAGCAGTAGCAGGTTAAGTCAGGGTCGGGATCGAACCCACGACCTCCTGCGAACCAGGCGAGGTAGTCGATGTCTCCGCCTGCTCAACGCGGATCGGCTGTGGCGCTTTTGGCGGCCGATTCGTGCCAGAGAGGCGAGGCGAGAAGATAGAAACTACGACGGAGAATTGAATGGACAACTTCAACGACGTTGACTTCCAGCCAACACAACTTCAGCAACATTGACCAGGCTGCCCACTGGGCTCGAACTGCGAGAGGGTTTTCACACGCCAGCGTCTCTCTGTGTGTCTGACGGTGGTGATGAGGCACTGCCTGCTTCCAGCAGTGGATAGAGCATGGCTCGTGGTGGTGGTGGTGGGGATGGGTGATGGTGGTGGTGGTGGTGGTGATGGTGGTGATGTGGTGGGTGATGGTGGTGATGGTTGTGGATGATGGTGGTGGTGGTGGTGGGGTGATGGTGGTGGTGGTGGTGGTGATGGTGGTGATGGTGGTGATGGTGTGGTGTGGTGATGGTGGGTGGTGGTAGGTGGTGATGGTGATGATGTGGGTGGATGGTGGGGATGGTGGTGGTGATTGTGGTGGGTGATGGTGGTGATGATGGTGGTGATGGTGGTGGTGATGGTGGTGGTGATGGTGGTGATGGTGGTGGGATGGTGGTGATGGTGGTGGTGATGGTGGTGGTGATGATGGTGGTGTGATGGTGGTGATGGTGGTGGTGATAGTGGTGGTTGGTGGTGATGGTGGTGGTGGTGATGGTGGTGATGGTGGTGGTGGTGTGATGGTGGTGATGTGTGGTGGGATGGTGGTGGTGATGGGTTGGTGGTGGTGATGGTGATGATGGTGGTGGGTGATGGGTGGTGATGGTGATGGTGGTGATGGTGGAGATGGTGATGGTGGTGATGGTGGTGGTGATGGTGGTGTTGGTGGTGATGGTGGTGGTGGTGGTGATGGTGGTGGATGATGGTGGTGTTGATGGTCCTGATGGTGATGTTTGGTTTTCAGGAGGAGAAGGGAGCAAAAACATGGGAAGTGAGAGATTCCACTCACCCACTCACTCACCCACCGACTCACCCACCCACTCATCCACTCATCCACTCACCCTCACCACCCTCACTCACTCACCTTCACCACCCTCACCACCCTAACCACCACCCTCACCACCACCCTCCCCACCATCCCTACCACCCTCACCACCATCATCACTCGACCCTCACCACCATCACCACCACCCTCACCACCATCACAACCCTCACCACCCTCACCACCCTAACCACCACCCTCACCACCATCCCTACCACCATCACTACCATCCTCACCATCACTACTACCCTCACCACCATCATCACTCGACCCTCACCATCACACTCACCACCCTCACCACCATCACCACCCTCACCACCACCCTCACCACCATCACCACCACCCTCACCACCCTCACCACCCTCACCACCATTCACCACCCTCACCACCATCACCACCCCTCACCACCACCCTCACCACCATCACCACCACCCTCACCACCCTCACCACCCCACCACCCTCATCACCACCCTCCCACCCCCCACGCTATCACCGCGCTCACTGCCAGGAGGAGTGAGTGCTGTTTGTTGCTGACCGCTCCGTGTTTGTGTCCCGTGCAGGGGACGACTCTAAGGACAAGAAGTTCCAAAGTAGGAAACACTCACCCACACACTCACCCACCCACTCACCCACTCACCCACACATAACTCCACACTCACCCACCCACACACTCACCCACTCACTCACTCACTCACACACTCACCCACACTCAACCACCCACACACTCACACACTCACCCACACGCTCACCCACTCACTCACACTCACTCACCCATCCACTCACCCACCCACCCTCTGCCCCCCCCTCCCTCCCCCACTCACCCACCCACTCACCCACCACTCACCCACTCACTCCACTCCCCACCCCACCCCCTCCCCCCCTCCCCCCCCCCTCCCCCCCTCCCACCCACTCACCCTCCACTCACTCACCCTCCCCCACCCACCCACTCACCCACCCACCCACTCACCGACCCACCCACTCACCAACCCACCAACCCACTCACCCACCCACTCACCCACCCCCCCTCACCGACCCACCCACTCACCAACCCACCACCCACTCACCCACCCAACTCACCCACCCACCCTCTGCCCCCCCCTCCCCCACTCACCCACTCACCCACTCACTCCTCACTCATCACCCCCCACCCACTCACCCACTCATCCACCCCCCCCCCCACTCACCCACTCATCCACCCACCCACTCACCCACTCACCCCACCCACTCACCCACTCACCCACCCACCCCCCCCCCCCCCCCCACCCCCTCCCCCTCCCACCCACTCACCCTCCAACTCACTCACCCTCCCCACCCACCCACTCACCAACTCTCCCACTCACTCACTCACCGACCCACCCACTCACCAACCCACCAACCACTCACCCACCCAACTCACCCACCCACCCTCTGCCCCCCCCTCCCCCACTCACCCACTCACCCACCCACCCACTCACTCACCCACCCACCCACCCACTCACCCACTCATCCACCCACCCACTCCCCACTCATCCACCCACCCACCACCACCCACTCCCTCACCCACCTCACCCACTCACCCACCCACCCCCTCCCCCCCTCCCCCACCCCTCCCCCTCCCACCCACTCACCCTCCAACTCACTCCCCTCCCACCCACCCACTCACCAACTCTCCCACTCACTCCTCACCGACCCACCCACTCACCAACCCACCAACCCACTCACCCACCCAACTCACCCACCCACCCTCTGCCCCCCCCTCCCCCACTCCCCACTCATCACCCACCCACTCCACTCACTCACGCCACCCACCCCCCCACATCCACTCACACTCCATCCACCCACCTCCACTCACCCCTCATCCACCCACCCACCCATCACACACCACTTCACCCACCCACTCACCCACTTCACCCACCCACCCCCTCCCCCCTCCCCCACCCCCTCCCCCCTCCCACCCACTCACCCTCCAACTCACTCACCCTCCCCACCCACCCACTCACCCACCCACCCCTCACCACTCTCCACTCACTCACTCACCGACCCACCCACTCACCAACCCCCACCAACCCACTCACCCACCCAACCACCCACCCACCCTCTGCCCCCCCCTCCCCCCACTCACCCCTCACCCACCCACCACTCACTCCTCACCCATCACCCACCCACCCACTCACCCACTCATCCCCCACCCACCCACCCACCCACCCACTCATCCACCCACCCACCCACTCACCCACTCATCCACCCACCCACCCCCCCCACCCACCCACCTCACCCACCCACCCACCCACCCCTCACCCACCCACCCTCACCCCCCCCCCCACCCACTCACCACCACCCACCCACCCACTCACCCACCCACCCACCCACTCACCCCCCCCCACCCACTCACCCTCCAACTCACTCCCTCCCACTCACCCTCCCACCCTCCCCTCCCCCCTCCCCCACCCCCTCCCCCCTCCCACCCACTCACCCTCCAACTCACTCACCCTCCCCACCCACCCACTCACCCACCCACCCTCACCAACTCTCCCACTCACTCACTCACCGACCCACCCACTCACCAACCCACCAACCCACTCACCCACCCACTCACCCACCACCCTCTCCCCCCTCCCCCACTCACCCACTCACCCACTCACCCACCCACCCACCCACTCATCCACCCACCCACCCACCCACTCACCCACTCACCCACCCACCCACCCACTCACCCACCCAACCCACCCACTCACCCACCCCCCACCCACCACCCCTCCAACTCACTCCCTCCCACTCACCCTCCCACCCTCCCCTCCCCCCTCCCCCACTCCCCATACACCCACCCCCACCCACTCACCCACCCACTCACCCACCCACCCCACCCTCACCCACCCATCCACTCACCCACCAACCCACCCCCCCTCCCCACCCCCTCCCCCTCCCCCACCCACTCACCCACCCCCCCTCCCCCCCACAGCCTCCCACGCCACCTGTTCGTTCTTCGGCGCGGGTTCGGTGCGCACCTTCGACGGGGAGCTCTTCTCAGCGCAGCGCCTGTGCCCGCTGACGCTGGCGCAGGACTGCGAGGGCCTCTACTTCGGGGTCGAGGTCGCCGTGCGGGACGCGAACCGCGCCGGGGACGTCACCGTGCGCCTCGCTCAGGACACCGTCACGTTCCACCCCAGTGGGTCAGAGGGGGGGGCAGGAGTCAGCCTCAATGGGAAGAGGTGAGCTCACTCAGTTAGTCTCACACTCACCCACCCAGGCACTCACTCAGTCACTCACCCACCCACTCACCCAGTCACTCACTCACCCAGTCACTCACTCACCGTCACGTTCCACCCCAGTGTGTCAGAGGGGGGGGCAGGAGTCAGCCTCAATGGCAAGAGGTGAGTGAGTGAGCTCAGTCAGTCACTCAGACTCACACTCACTCAGACTCACACTCACCCAGTCACTCACTCACCCAGTCACTCAGACTCACACTCACCCAGTCAGTCACTCAGACTCACACTCACTCAGACTCACACTCACTCAGACTCACACTCACTCAGACTCACACTCACCCAGTCACTCACTCAGACTCACACTCACTCAGACTCACACTCACTCAGACTCACACTCACTCAGACTCACACTCACCCAGTCACTCACTCAGACTCACACTCACTCAGACTCACACTCACTCAGACTCACACTCACTCAGACTCACACTCACCCAGTCACTCACTCAGACTCACACTCACTCAGACTCACACTCACTCAGACTCACACTCACCCAGTCACTCACTCTGACTCACACTCACTCAGACTCACACTCACTCAGACTCACACTCACCCAGTCACTCACTCACCCAGTCACTCAGACTCACACTCACCCAGTCAGTCACTCAGACTCACACTCACTCAGACTCACACTCACTCAGACTCACACTCACTCAGACTCACACTCACCCAGTCACTCACTCAGACTCACACTCACTCAGACTCACACTCACTCAGACTCACACTCACTCAGACTCACACTCACCCAGTCACTCACTCATACTCACACTCACTCAGACTCACACTCACTCAGACTCACACTCCCCAGTCACTCACTCAGACTCACACTCACTCAGACTCACACTCACTCAGACTCACACTCACCCAGTCACTCACTCAGACTCACACTCACTCAGACTCACACTCACTCAGACTCACACTCACTCAGACTCACACTCACCCAGTCACTCACTCAGACTCACACTCACTCAGACTCACACTCACTCAGACTCACACTCACCCAGTCACTCACTCAGACTCACACTCACTCAGACTCACACTCACTCAGACTCACACTCACCCAGTCAGTCACTCAGACTCACACACACTCAGACTCACACTCACTCAGACTCACACTCACTCAGACTCACACTCACTCAGACTCACACTCACCCAGTCACTCACTCAGACTCACACTCACTCAGACTCACACTCACTCAGACTCACACTCACCCAGTCACTCACTCAGACTCACACTCACTCAGACTCACACTCACTCACACACTCACCCAGTCACTCACTCAGACTCACACTCACTCAGACTCACACTCACTCAGACTCACACTCACTCAGACTCACACTCACCCAGTCACTCACTCAGACTCACACTCACTCAGACTCACACTCACTCAGACTCACACTCACCCAGTCACTCACTCAGACTCACACTCACTCAGACTCACACTCACTCAGACTCACACTCACCCAGTCAGTCATTCAGACTCACACTCCCCAGTCACTCACTCAGACTCACACTCACTCAGACTCACACACTCACTCATCAGTCACTCAGACTCACACTCACTCAGACTCACACTCACTCAGACTCACACTCACTCAGACTCACACTCACTCAGATTCACACTCACCCAGTCACTCACTCGACTCACACTCACTCAGACTCACACTCACTCAGACTCACACTCACTCAGACTCACACTCACCCAGTCACTCACTCAGACTCACACTCACTCAGACTCACACTCACTCAGACTCACACTCAACCAGTCACTCACTCAGACTCACACTCACTCAGACTCACACTCACTCAGACTCACACTCACTCAGACCACTCACCCAGTCACTCACTCAGACTCACACTCACTCAGACTCACACTCAGTCAGTCACTCAGACTCACACTCACTCAGACTCACCCTCACTCAGACTCACACTCACTCAGACTCACACTCACCCAGTCAGTCACTCAGACTCACACTCACCCAGTCACTCACTCAGACTCACACTCACTCAGACTCACACTCACTCAGTCAGTCACTCAGACTCACACTCACTCAGACTCACACTCACTCAGACTCACACTCACCCAGTCACTCACTCAGACTCACACTCACTCAGACTCACACTCACTCAGACTCACACTCACCCAGTCACTCACTCAGACTCACACTCACTCAGACTCACACTCACTCAGACTCACACTCACCCAGTCACTCACTCAGACTCACACTCACTCAGACTCACACTCACTCAGACTCACACTCACTCAGACTCACACTCACCCAGTCACTCACTCAGACTCACACTCACTCAGACTCACACTCACTCAGACTCACACTCACTCAGACTCACACTCACCCAGTCAGTCACTCAGACTCACACTCACTCAGACTCACACTCACTCAGACTCACACTCACCCAGTCACTCACTCAGACTCACACTCACTCAGACTCACACTCACTCAGTCAGTCACTCAGACTCACACTCACTCAGACTCACACTCACTCAGACTCACACTCACTCAGACTCACACTCACTCAGATTCACCTCACCGTCACTCACTCAGACTCACACTCACTCAGACTCACACTCACTCAGACTCACACTCACTCAGACTCACACTCACCAGTCACTCACTCAGACTCACACTCACTCAGACTCACACTCACTCAGACTCACACTCAACCAGTCACTCACTCAGACTCACACTCACTCAGACTCACACTCACTCAGACTCACACTCACTCAGCTCACACTCACCCAGTCACTCACTCAGACTCACTCACTCAGACTCACACTCAGTCAGTCACTCAGACTCACACTCACTCAGACTCACACTCACTCAGACTCACACTCACTCAGACTCACACTCACCCAGTCAGTCACTCACTACTCACACTCACCCAGTCACTCACTCAGACTCACACTCACTCAGACTCACACTCACTCAGTCAGTCACTCAGACTCACACTCACTCAGACTCACACTCACTCAGACACACTCACCCATCACTCCCTCAGACTCACCACACTCACTCAGACTCACACTCACTCGACTCACACTCACCCAGTCACTCACTCAGACTCACACTCACTCAGACTCACACTCACTCAGACTCACACTCACCCATCACTCACTCAGACTCACACTCACTCAGACTCCACTCACTCAGACTCACACTCACTCAGACTCACACTCACCCAGTCACTCACTCAGACTCACACTCACTCAGACTCACACTCACTCAGACTCACACTCACTCAGACTCACACTCACCCAGTCAGTCACTCAGACTCACACTCACTCAGACTCACACTCACTCAGACTCACACTCACCCAGTCACTCACTCAGACTCACACTCACTCAGACTCACACTCACTCAGTCAGTCACTCAGACTCACACTCACTCAGACTCACACTCACTCAGACTCACACTCACTCAGATTCACACTCACCCAGTCACTCACTCAGACTCACACTACTCAGACTCACCTCACTCAGACTCACACTCACTCAGACTCACACTCACCAGTCACTCACTCAGACTCACACTCACTCAGACTCACACTCACTCAGACTCACCTCAACCAGTCACTCACTCAGACTCACACTCACTCAGACTCACACTCACTCAGACTCACACTCACTCAGACTCACACTCACCCAGTCACTCACTCAGACTCACACTCACTCAGACTCACACTCAGTCAGTCACTCAGACTCACACTCACTCAGACTCACACTCACTCAGACTCACACTCCCCAGTCACTCACTCAGACTCACACTCACTCGACTCACACTCACTCAGACTCACACTCACCCAGTCACTCACTCAGACTCACACTCACTCATACTCACACTCACTCAGACTCACCTCACTCAGACTCACACTCACCCAGTCACTCCACTCACTCACACTCACTCAGACTCACACTCACTCAGACTCACACTCACTCAGACTCACACTCACCCAGTCAGTCCTCAGACTCACACTCACTCAGACTCACACTCACTCAGACTCACACTCACTCAGACTCACACTCACCAGTCACTCACTCAGACTCACACTCACTCAGACTCACACTCCTCAGTCAGTCAATCAGACTCACACTCACTCAGACTCACACTCACTCAGACTCACACTCACTCAGACTCACACTCACTCAGTCACTCACTCAGACTCACACTCACTCAGACTCACACTCACTCAGACTCACACTCACTCAGACTCACACTCACCCAGTCCACTCACTCAGACTCACACTCACTCAGACTCACACTCACTCAGACTCACACTCACCCAGTCACTCACTCAGACTCACACTCACTCAGACTCACACTCCCTCAGACTCACACTCCCAGTCAGTCACTCAGACTCACACACACTCAGACTCACACTCACTCAGACTCACACTCACTCAACTCACACTCACTCAGACTCACACTCACCCAGTCACTCACTCAGACTCACACTCACTCAGACTCACACTCACTCAGACTCACACTCACCCAGTCCTCACTCAGACTCACACTCACTCAGACTCCACTCACCAGACTCACACTCACCCAGTCACTCACTCAGACTCACACTCACTCAGACTCACACTCACTCAGACTCACACTCACTCAGACTCACACTCACCCAGTCACTCACTCAGACTCACACTCACTCAGACTCACACTCACTCAGACTCACACTCACCCAGACACTCACTCAGACTCACACTCACTCAGACTCACACTCCTCAGACTCACACTCACCCAGTCAGTCATTCAGACTCACATCACCCAGTCACTCACACTCAGACTCTCACTCACACTCACTCAGACTCACACTCACTCAGTCAGTCCCTCAGACTCACACTCACTCAGACTCACACTCACTCAGACTCACACTCACTCAGACTCACACTCACTCAGATTCACACTCACCCAGTCACTCAC